AATAAAGAACTCAATGTAGATGATCAGCAATATTTGGACGTCATCATCAGTAACTGGCACAAAACAAATTCTGCCAAGACAACTTCACTATTCGTCGTGTGAACCGCAGCTCCACGCATTTGTCGATGCATTCGCAAGCATATGCCGCAGTGGCTTATCTTCGACAGCTTTCGGCAGAGAAGTACAACCAAATATAATTATGTCGAAAGCGCGCCTCTGCCCATTATAGGGAACATCCATTCCACGTTTAGAACTTTTAGCAGCTTCGATTGGAACAAGGTTACTCAACTTTAGCAGGAAGCAACTCAATTTGGAAACTATTCGCTCCTACATATGGAGTGGCAGCAAGTGTGTGCTGTATTGGATTAAATCAAACAAAGAAACAAGCTCGAGACTCGTCAACAACCGCTTAAAAGAAATCAAGATAGCAAGAAGCCAATGGAACCATGTCCCCACAAAGAAAAATCCGGCAGATATAGCATCCAGGGGCAGCTCATATCAGGGCACTCTCTGGTGGAAAGGACCAGCATGGTTAATAAATGAATCTGAGCAGTGGCCTTCGTGGGAGTTATCAGGTATGGAAAAAGAAGCGAAAGAACCAGAAGCTGAGAAAACACCGAAGAAGAAACTGTCGACAATTTACGAGAGAAATAAGTCAGTAACAGTTAACACTGCATCGGAAAGCCCGAAAGAGCAGCGGGTAGACGGAAGTCGATTTAGGAGATGGAAGACAACGAAAGGTTGCTTACCTAAAGCAATTCGTTTTATAAAAAATATTCGTAGCAAACAAAGAAACTCCACGGATTGGGAGGATTACAAGAAATCTGAATTACTTTTACTGCAACAAGCACAAACAAAAAGTATCAGTGAAGAAGAGAAATGGAAATGGGAACTTGGCAGAGATGAAAATCAAATTTGGAGATGCAATGGACGAGTCTTGCAAACCCAACTACTTCGCGAAACTAGACATCCGATTTATCTGCCGCGAACAAATTATATAACGAAACTTATCGTTCAATATCAACACGAAAGAGACCTTCACAGTGGAACTGCACACACATTTTCACAACTACTTCAGAAATATTGGATACCTCAAGATCGAGCGGTTGTGAAACGAGCAATCAACCAGTGTGGAAAATGTCAAAGATGGAAGGCAAAGCCATTTTGATTACCGCCATTTCCACCGTATCCAGAAAGCAGAGTCTATCCTTCAAAACCATTTCAGCTTGTTGGATTTGATTATTTTGGACCAATTACCATCTCAACAGCTGACAAACAAAAGAAAAGATGGGTGTCTTTTTACATGCCTCACCACATGAGCAGTACATTTGGAGCTCATATGGGATCTAACAACCGAAGCATTTACCAATCGTTTACGAAGATTCGTTGCTCGAAGAGAATCTCCAGACTCCATCGTTTGCGACAACGCTGCACAGTTCAAGCTAGCAGCGAAGACTGCAGATGTCGGTACAAAGTACAGCAGTCAAGAAATAGAAGAGTAGAGCAATGTTCGTGCGATAAGATGGAAGTTTATTACCGAGTTTTCTCCATGGCAGGGAGGTATCTATGAACGATTAGTAGGTATAACAAAAAAAGCACTTAGCCAAGAAATAGGCCAACGGCTTTTAAATGAAGAACATTTGAGAACACTGGTCACTGAAGCAGAAGGAATCATCAGTTGTAGGCCGCTGACATAATTTGAGGAAGATAACAATGACGTACTTCGGCCAATTGATTTCTTGACCCCAGGAGCCGAATTAACCATTCCAATTTGCTGTCAGTTTAGAAGAGGAGTTTCGGCCTATGATTACTCCACAGCAGAGGCTACTTCAGCAATGGAGAAATTCACTGAAGCCGTTAGAACATTTTTGGAAGTTTTGACAAGGCAG